GGTAAAGAGGCAGGTGACAGGAGACAGAATATTTTCTGTATTAGAAGTAGGCAGATAGGCTGTACAGCTTTCTGAGCTTTAGTCCACAGTCAAAACCAAGTGATGGTAGGTCATTCTCACTCATGCCTTGGGAGTCTTGGCTCATCAATATTTATGAAGCTCTTAGGCTAAGGACTGTATAAATGAGTAAGTTCTGTTATGTGTGGGCACAAAGCATGTGGGATAGCTTTCATGCTACCAAACTATAATACAGTGGGGATGTGAATGGTTTGCGGCAAATAGCATTCCATCCTCAAAGAGATCGTTGCAATAACTGTCTGTGCAGATGCAAGCAATTTGGCAGCAATTGTTCCAAACCACTGGTTTGTTTCAAAAACCAAGGCAAAAATTATAGAGTAAATCCTCTCCTATGTTATTATATTGCCTTAAATTCAGTTCCAGCAAAGGTATTTTTCTGCTGATGCAATGACACTGACTGCCTGTTTGTCAAATTATTTTGTGATGCTTCTGTGATTCTGTGCTTGGGCCAACATGAGCTCTGTAAGACTTCCAGGAGTCAAAGGCAAAAACAAACAGATTGAGCCTGGAGAAGATTCTAGAGATGTTTTCAGAGACTGATTAAAACAATTCTGGGCCAGCCTTCTGTCCATTGCTTCATCCTGTTCTGATGAGCTATACTGTGATGAGCTTATTTTTGAGGTGGGTCTCCTCTTCCCTAGGTCCCACAGCTCCATTTCCTGTTACTTGCTGACTTTGATTCCTCATTTCAGGACCTCGATATGAAGAAGCTTGTTTCACTCCCACCCATTTGCTCATTCCCAGGATTTGATCTTCCCTCTGGAAGCACAGCTGGGAATGTTGTCATACACAGATTCTTAAGTTGCAAGGTTGTGGAATAACTGATGAGATGTATGTGGTTTTGTTTTGGGAAATGTCAGGGCTGTGGTTCAGCCAGTGTCACAGCAGCATCATGTGTTATGCTGTTGCTACCAGGTGGCAGTTCTCAGAAACACCCTGCATTGATTCTTCTTGAGCACACTTTGTTTTTTCAACCCTTGATTTCAGATCTTTTTTAGATTTTTGGAGCCAGATCAAAGCAGTAGCACCAAGGCTCCCTCATTTGCATTTTTGTGTTATTAGCTCTAAATTCTTATTTATGGTTGTTGGCACCATTATATTGTAGTGACTGTCCTGCAGAGAGTTTCCTGCCAGGGTCAGGACCAGTGCTTTCAGGTTTGTACTCCTACATACAGGAGGATATGAGCACCACTTCAGAGAGCATTTGGGCACTCTGCTTGATGGCTGTTCCTCTGCTGATTCCGTGTCAGAATATCTGCTGCGACAATAAAGCATGTATCAGAGTCTGATGACTGTTCCCTCCCTTTCAGTGGGTGCCTTGGAGAAAACAAGCTGCAAGTTTTGAATATGCAACACATTTAATATTCTGTTGGGATTGTTTATGCTCAGCAAATCACAAGATCTTACAGTTCCCTTGAAATGAGGAATAAGAGCGATAATTCTTTTCTGAATTATGTCTAATGCAAGTGGAGCAGGGAAGATTTCTCTGAAATGTGTAACAGTTGCAACATCAGCGATTCATCCAGCCCAGGGAGGATCCAAGCTGGTACTGAGCTGCTGTGATGGCTCATGGCCGTTCACAGTCAGCCTTCCATGTCAGAGGAAACGAGCGGCCACCGCCTGAATTTTTTCTCTAGCAATTCCCAGATGTTATGACCTGGATTTGCCACATTCATATTTTCAACACTATTCTCAGTGCTCTGCTAGCTTGTAATGTGGTCAGAGATGACCATCTCAAATGTTGTCTACTCTACGTCCAAAATTTTATGTATTTTAGAATGAATGCGTATCTGTGATTCATCTTGAGCTGTACTCATCTAGGGGAGTCACAGCAGCCTACTCTGACGGCATGAAATGTCTGCCAACTCTTCCCTCCCTTTTCTGGTAATTCCCTTCTCCCTTCCTCCACTCAAGTCCTTTTTGCCTTTCTTCAGTTTCCTTATCCCTGCCTTAGAGAGTGTCAGCTTGCAGGGATTATCTGCTGAAGGTCCCACAGGCTCTTTGTCTTCCCTGATGATTCATCTGTAAGATACCTCTCTTCATGTTTTCCTGCCTTTCTTTTGCAGAACAGGCAAGGCTAAAAACCATGAAAAGAAGGCAGCAAAAGTCAGAGAGCATGCTTTTGCCTTTCCACATGCAGATAGTAAACAGTAAAAAGATGAAAATATTTTTGCTATGAGAGGGCAGATAAAAGGCACCACATGGAATATACTTTTACAGTAAAAGAAGTGCAATCCGTCCTCTTTTTCTTTAGAGTACAGCCTCACTCTGAATGAAAAAAATTACACTTTAGGAGGAGAACTAAGTTCATGTGAGGAGTATTTAACAAGGGCATTATTAATTTGAATGTTGTATTCTTGAGATTTTAGTTGCACAATCGGGAGGTCGCTGACCTTTAATCTTTAGAAATTATTTTTACCAAACTCATGATTTTAGTAGCTTTGACTGCCTTGTAGTAGAACATTAAATGAGGTGACAAGCATCTGTCACAGAAGATTTTTTTCCCCTTCCCATTTCTCTCCGAGAGAAGACTAGTTGATGTGGCCTAGTCTCTGCTTCTATAGGAAAAAGCAAGCCAAAGAACTGTATCTTGTACGTGGAGCAACAGATAGGATTCACAATAGTCATTAACTCCCATGGGAGTTCATCCCAGTCTCGGACCAGCTCCTCATAAAGCTTTCTCTTGCATGGAGACAATTCAGCCATGGTGTAAAAAAATTCCAGGTAACTACAGGGGCAGAACTGCTCACAGGCTTAATTCAGAAATGCATGGAAATACAGGTATGCTGAGCCCTGGGGCCCAGATACTCTGAAAGTAAAGATCTTGGGCTGGATTTAGTGTTGTATGGAAAGGCAGGTTAGAGACTGTAAGTTTCATGTCTTACGAAGCCTTATTCACAAACCGGCAGTGTTGTGAGTGGCTTAGCTGTAAGCCTCCCCACAGTGCCCCTCTGCCATGTCTTAGCTGTGTTATGAACAAACCATTTTCATAGAAGAGCCTCTGTTAAAAATGCTTCCCAGTTTGACAGTGGTGAGGGTGGTTCTTCAGTATCAGCATTAACCTTCGAGGAGATTAACTCCAGCAGCTCAATGGGTATGAGTTATCTAGCGAATGTTAAATAAGAACACCTTCCAACCAGTACTGAATCCAGACTTGACTCCATAGTGAGATGATCCAAATGAGTTGAGACAACTGAAAAACCTGACAGATACAAGCATCTCTGTGGAATTTCCCTGGATGTTAAAGTTTTCAACTTGAGTAATAAAATACAATAGCTCTTCTCTTTCTAAGGTTATTCATTATAGCTTTGTATTAATTGCTCTGTATTAATTGATCATCTAGATCATTAATGAAGATGTTAGGTCTTTAGATACTATTGTAAATGGAGCCATGAAAGTACTGTAGGTAATTAACTATACATTGGTTTACGGTTCAGCTGACAACATTAGTTACAGTTTGATTATTTGAAATTATGTTTCAGGGGAGAGAAGTTGATGTTTTCAAGTGTGCAGGTATTCGAAAGAGTTTCTTGATACAAAAGGACTAACCAGACATCTCCATTCTGAGGGGATTTCCTCACCATGCTTTAATGTTTCAGCCATTCTGTATGGAATTTAGGTGTAAAATTTTTATATTGTATTACTGGGCTTCACTTTTTCATGTATCTCCTCAGCATTTTTCCCCCTCCTGACAGATACATTTTCCTTGGTGCTACCAGAAATACCACATGACCTGGATGATCAGTCTTCGAGATCTGGTGTATTGACACTGACACTTGCTCAAAGAAGCTCTCAATAACTAACTTACAGTAGCCAACAAAATTATAATCATTAGTTTGCTCCCTTCTTGCTAGAATTAGCATGTTCTCTATGTGAGGCCTAACATGGAGTCTTAAGCTTTTATCTCTTCAGTCTTATGCTTTTATTTGTTTGAGGCAAAAAACAAACACCAACATACAGATGGGGGGTTTCCCCCATAAATGTATTTTGTATCAAGTTTGATTTCTTAAACACAAAGTATGTGTCTATCATCTCCAATTCATTAGGAGTTAATGTGAACTAAGAAATATTTATGGTAATTCTGAGAATTCCAGTGAAGTCTTATGAAATAGATTCTCTTTTCAAAGGGGTAAGAGGTATGATTAAAAAACAGTGTAACACTAACCAAGAATTACTTGTCTCAAAGCCAAAAGGAAGGACTGATCAGAAGACTGAATTGAAAACGCGTTTCCCTTTTTTTCTGAAACTTATGTTGCATTTTTGTTCTCATTTTGGGGAAAGAACTCTGCTGTCAGTCTGTGTTATAACTTGAGTTTTCCTTGTCTGTAGTGCCAGGACCAAATTCCTCCAGTGACAGTGGCATCAGCTTTGCCATGATAATGATGGCCTGGGTGGTGATTGCACTTGTCTTGTTCTTACTGAGACCTAGTAATCTGAGAGGATCCAATGCAGCTGGAAAGCCAACCAGCCCACATAACGTAAGTGCATCTTCCAAGTGCCCTGCAGAGAGACCTTACAACAGCTTAAATGTATTTTGTTTTAATGCAGACTATCTTAAAGTCATTTTTTCCTTACATTATTTCTTCTGTATTTTCTTGGAACTCTGTTAACAATGAAAATGGGTAAAAGCAAAGTGAAAGTGGAATCATGAAGGCCAAGTGTGAGGCCTGGCATGGGATGGAGCAGGCACAGGTGACTACGTGTGGGTCACAGTGTCCAGGGACTGTCTGTCCCTGGTTGGAACTGCCTCCTGCCTTCTGATGTACAAGGGGGAGATCACAGCTTTAAGAGAAATCGGTAAACAAAATTACGGCATGAAACTGGGAAGGTGATCTTTGTCCTAGATGTGGGACCATGTAAAAATCCTTATCGATGCAGGAAATGGTATTGTTCTTTGATGCTCATTTACTGTGAATATTGAAAGAAGTATTGAAAAATCTTAAAAGAAAGTACAATGTTGAGTTCTTTTATTGCTAAATCCTCTTACATGAAGCACTGTTTCTAATCCTGTACATGGTTTTTTTCTTCTTTTCCTCCTTCCTTCCCCCTAGGGACAAGAACCACCAGCCCCACCAGTGGACTAGAGCAGTCAGTATTGGAAAGGTTCAGCAAAAAAGCAGCTAAAACCTTGCACGACCAAATGAACGAAGTGACCAGATTACTCCTAAACCCCATTCAATACTGTTTTCTTTTCTCATTTATATAGAGCAAAATTATCATTCAGCAGTTATCTTCATGAACTGCTTTTAGCGACTTCAATTTTAAGTTAATTTTTGCTTTGTATGTTATTACAATTCCTAGTAGATTGTAATTTGCATAATGATAAGGCGTTGCAGGGTTTTTTTGGTTGTTACTGTTACTGTGGACATTCCACTCAGTCTCTTTCTGTTACAATGATCTTAATTTCTTTGCAGTGATTTCTGATATGCATTGAAAGAAAAAGAAAATCCCTGTGCATCTATAATAATGGAAGGTTACTGACCTTTCTTCAGATTAATCCATATTTTTTTCCCATTATGCTTTGGAGAGTTATATTATGGTTGCAACTATTAGCTTAGTTAAGTGGTAAAAAATTGAAAATATTTTGTATTTGCCCTGGGTTCAGAGCAGCGTTTAGTCTGGTCTTTGGACTACTAACATAGTTTTCAGGGTTGTTGGCAAAAGCACAGATTGTCCACTAGAATTCTACTATGTGTGTGTGTGTGTGCGCACGCACATAAGTGAATGTAATAAGTGCCACTGTCAAAGCTTTGACACATATATTGGGAACTTTACACAAAAAATTATACCACCAAAAAATTTGATCTTGTTCACTAATAAATGATATATCTTATCCAATATATTTTCCAAAAAATGTATTCCAAAACCAGATTTGTTTACTTATAGACTTCATGAAAAGAGAAATTTAGTGAGAAGAACTTGGTAGAATTTCCTGCCCTGGTAATAGTCTCTTAATAATTGGTATCTTAAAAAGTTTTTAGCCATGATTCAATGTATATTGGACAGGACAAAATCATACCAAGAGGTTACCGAGGTTACCAACTTTTGGTATACAAGACATACTGGATATTCAGGTTTTTTCACGTGTACGTTATCAGCAGTTCTTAACATTTCATCCTTACCTACTGGTTGTAATTGTAGAGTAACAAACTCGCAGGTGACTACATATGGCATGTCTTTTCCCTCTAATATTTGTGTGTATGTGCGGTATGTTTATGTGTGCGTATGTGTGGCTGTGCACGTACCTGTGCACATCTCCCATTGTAGCCAATGGGAATGACTTTTTTATGTACATTAATTTAAGAACATTTTAAAGATGTACAGAAAAGCAACACTGTATATTTTTCTTGATCAATTTGAAAAATTGATGAGAATAATGTAAAGAACATTTTTATGTTACCAACATGAAGCTTCTTTCTGTAAAGGTCGGTAGAACAGACAGATGGGAATTCAAAGCCTTACTTTACAAACCTTTATTTCATGAGGACTTTAGTTACAGAGCTGAAGGGACTAACTGTGAAGATGCATAAAGGTTTGTAGTAATGGGCTCTAACAAAAGTCTCACATCAGATCCCGTGGGTGACAGACGCAGGGTTTTGCTCCTCAGGGTAAACGGCAGGCCAGCTAAGCCTCCTTGTAAAGGTACAGCGTAGACCTGAAGAAAGGCTTCTGTAATTTGATATAGTTGCCCTTTGGATTTCTGTGGAATAGTGTGCTCCCAAGCACAGGAGCATGTGTAAAAAAGAAAAAAATTTTAAAAAAAGATTGGGCCAGGTGCTCTCGGTGACATCAGCGCAGTGCCATGTAAAGCAATAGAGCTGCAGCAGAGAAGCTGAGAGAATTTGTCCTGTTACGTCTGATGGTGTACAGGCCACAAACACTGTGTAAAGATGTCACTGGGACAAGCGGTCTGACTGTGCTTGCTTTTTGCCTTCTGTGTACATTTATGTTTGGGATACTGTTTGAACAGAACAAGTAATACAGCACCATTCTGTTGAACCAACAAGGAAACATACATAATCTCCTACACTGACCTTTTCTCCAGGGGTTTTTGGCCAGAGCGCGTCACTATCGGATGCATAGAACAGGCTTCCAATTGATTGAAAAGCCAACCAAAACAGGCTTCGTTTCAGACAGAGTGCCACTCCTCATCCTATTGGAAGTTGGTGAGACTTACAGCAGATGCTCCTCACTTGTGAGGATCAGTCTCACTTTACTTAAATGCCTATGTATGTATTTATAAAACTCACCATGTGCACCCAGCTCTAACAGTCTTGGCAAATGAACTTTTTGTTCACAGTAGTGTTGTGTTTTACATTTAAATGATCTGTCTTTGCTTGAAATTCCTCTAAGGAATCGTCCCAGTGATTTTATACATGTATGCTTTCCTCATGTAAATTGCTATTTTAAATTTTCTATGTAAAAGAGAAAACATTGGAAATATTTTATTGTAAAATGTTTTACTAAAGAGCCAGGCCATTATCCCACGTCAAAATGTATGCCTTTTCAATTCAGATACTCTCTCCAAGATATAAACTTCAGATCACCACTCTTAATTAAAATAAAAGTAACTAACTGTAGGACTGTATTTTGCCACTCTTATTCATGTTAAATAGTGCCTTACTCATCAAGTAGTTGCACTGAAGTTTGTGGGACTACTCTGAGATAATGTACTAGTAGCAGCTTTAGTAAGAGTGGCAGAAATCTGGCCTTTAGTGATGTAGTTTGCGATGAAATAACTGTATCATGGTTACAGACGTTTATGGTAAATTTTGAGAAGAAGTGTGGAAGAGATTAGTGGTATGTGAAGCTTCAGGATATGATTAATTCTGTAACGAGGGTTTAAGCTCGGTTAGTAAGAGATGCAAGTTGTAGCAGCTTGGGAAGTATGAAGGGAAGTTTACAATTATACCTTAGCTTAGGACTTGGTTAAAACAATAGTATTTTTAGAGTCTGCTTAACACAATTATTATACTCTGAAATGAGAAATCATATGTATTCATGTATTGTCTGCAGATCACTTAGCCTTGTAATGTTCATGATTGAAAAAGGAAGAGTGATGATGTGGTGTACCTAATGTAAATCGGTGGTTTAAAATGTCTGAATTATGCCAAACAAAAAATCATCTGTGCCATTTGCGGTTTCCTGGTAATCTTTTACTGAGTACTTGGATTGGGATAAAGGGCTTGTACTATGCACTTTTTATTGACTTAACAAAATAAATAGCAATCGTTAGTAATCTTTTGTCTTTGCCTCTTAGTCTTTGTATAAAATATAGGAGTGCACCAACCTGTCAATTTCTAAAGTAATTTGAAATCATCTAAAAATAAGTATCGGTAAAAATAGCATGTCATCTGTGTAGCTTTTAAAATGTAAATTCTAACTTTTCTAACGGACGCTTGCCTTCTGTATGTGTCTCAAGCAAGCCAGAATGAATTATAAGTGATTTCCAAGGTGTAAGAGACATTGATGACCAACATGGATGTCTCTGCCTTTTGCTCTTTGAAGTAGTTGTGCAACCTAGGAAGTCAAAAATAATACAGCAAGAAAAGTAATGGGAGAGGCCAAATACGCCAATTCCGCTTCTTCATTTTAGATCAAATCCTACTACTTTGGGATTTGCAGTCTATTTTTTAGTCCCAGTTCTTGGCAGTGATGGACCCAGAGCTGCCCCGAGGAAGGAAGGTTCTCCATTCGATCCGAGGCAGCATGTAGAAGTAGTAGGGACCTGCTGCTTCCTCACTGTTCCCGTGGAGCACAGCACTCTTCTTCCTCCAGCAGCAGAGTATGAAATGCTGAGCAGTGCCTCAGCAGCAGCTCAGATCCCATGTTAGGGATTCCTGTGTTAATCCAAGGAAAAAAAAAGGAAAACACCAGGGGAGCATTAGGGTTTAAAATAATATAAAGCTATCCAGAGATAGTGGTAATAAATACCAGAGAATCAGAAACAAAATCTGAATTTATTTTTAGTAATAAAAATTTTAAAAATAACAATTTAATAATAAATGCTTCAGGCATTTGAGTCCATTTAGAAACTGTATGATCTTAATTAGAGATCATTAATGTCTGCTCATCAAGGTTTACCCTTTTACTCAAACATAAGGTTATAAATAACCCCTAAAACTCAAGGTGGACTTTACTTACAAGTACACTTGTTAAAATGTTTGCCATGGAAAAGTGATACAGAAAGGAAATTACCACACATTTAAATTAACTATATGTTGAACGGATCTGCCTGAGACCTGGCTGTTCAAGACCACCAGGGAAGTGGAGATTACTCTGCCCCAAAGCCTGAAAAAAGCTGTATCCTGTCTAGGATGTTTGGAAGAAATACATCAAACCATTGCAGCAAAATATGCCATGAACGTTACGTGGGTTCCTTGCCAAAATGAACAACTTACGGTCTTCTCACCTTCAACCCTTACTTGTTCAGTACCAGCCAACAGCTGACAGTGCAATTCCCTGCAAAGACGTGGCCCTCGGGGAGGGGGAAGAGGCAGACTGTCCCACGGGGAGCCACATCCTCACTTGTAAACCAGCACAACTCTTACTGGCTTCCAGGGAGTTACACTCACCGACATCAGCTGAAGATTTGTCTCTTTTCATACAAGAATAACAGAACCTATGTTACTTAATCTTATATTAAAATCATTGCCAACTCCCATAGCAAGCACTTTGTAGTTAAATATAATAATCAGAAGAATCTGGCCTCCACATGACCTTTTTAACATCTGCAGGTAGGAGCGTTGGTTAAAGAGGGTGTCTGAAACAAATGTGTTTCAATACAGGAAAATAAATGTTAATTCACCATACGTATTCAGCTTTTTAAAGGTTTCACTCTTCTTGCTTGTATGGAAAGTGGTATTATAAAATATTTTATACAATGTTAATTGAAAATACCGTAGGAATTTCTAATCGAAGTAGCAAGCTTTAAAAAAAAAAAAGTATTTTGCATTCATGGGTTTTGTTATGACCTTCTCTGAGCCATAAATGATGAAACCGAGGAATAATTTCTGTGACTATGTAGTTTTCAGACTTATACCTGTTTTAAAATTCATGAAGATTATAATTTCTTCTGGTGCAAAAAATACCTTTAAAATGTAAAAGAAGATTTTAGAGCTGAGAAAACATGTTTCCTAAGCAGACCAACAAAAAAACCCACCATTGTACAACACAAAGATCACAGCCATTACTTAGACAGAAAAAGTAACTCTTAGAAAAGGTGTAGGAGCTCAGTTTAGAGCAGAACTTGAAGATGAAGTGATAAATGATAAACTGAATATAATTAGCAAGAAAATGATCCACAGAAGGCCCCACAGGACTGGACACTACACCAAGCAGTGCATGTAACACATCAAAATCTGCTTTGTTGGCGTGGTGATGGTGAGTAAAAATCCAGTTTCTTCAGCTCTCCTAGTGATTTCACGCAGCCTTGTTTTCCATCCTCAGTTTCACATAGGTGAAATAGAAAATCCACATAATCATTTTCCCACTTCATCAAATACTAGCTTGCAATTTGAATCTCTTGTCTCTGAGACCCCCTCTGGCTGTATGCTTCTGTGGGGCTTCAGTATGCAGGGGGCAGCGATTAGCTATATATATATAATATATATATATATTAGCTATACTGTAACAGTGGATCAAACCTTCACCTTGTTTTGTGTGAACAAC